TTCTTTATTGACGTTTTAGGGTTTTTATATTTTTTAAAATAAATTCTTTATATATTAAGAATATTGAATGTGAGGGCAATCTGGCTGTGATTTCTGTCACCCCATTGATCGCCAGGGTTGATTTGGCTGATCTGGCTGGCTAGGTAGGTGTCCCCTTGCTCCCTCCAAATGCATCCCTCGCAAAGCTGGGCTGTGTGCTTAGTCGAAGAGGACCACCACCCTCGCTAAAGGAGGAGGACCTCCTTCCGTCAGGGGTATGGGAGTAGCTGCATTCCCCTGCTAGAGCCTCCAGACAAGCTCTCAAGGTCCATTTGTAGGGGAACATACGGTAGTCAAGCTTCCAAGACTCCAGACACAGCGAAATGAGGCACTGCATAAGGCAGTCTGCCCTTCTGAAAAAAAAATTATTGTGTTGTTACTAATATGTTTCCCAGATTATTGTTTGCCTTTTGATTTTTACCTCATACTTTTATATTTGTATATAGTCAAATCAGATAATACTTTAGTAACATTTCTTATTCTCATTTATTTTATCTTTAAAAACTCCTTCTCCTAAAAATAAATATTCTAATATTTTTATTTAATAGAGTAATGATTTCTTTTTTATATTTTACTCTATCCATTTCATATTTATTTTAGTATATGATGTTTACTGAATTTTCTTTTACAAATAGCTAAGTTGGTAACTTCTAATGCCATTTACTGAATATTTCTTTTTTTACTTACTGGCTTTGAAAACTACCTTTAATATACTATATTCTTGTATATTCCAGTATCAGTTTCTGAGCCACATATTAAATATCAGATTCGGAACTAGTAAAACTATTTTAAAAACACTATTTTAGCACTGGTATACATTTTAATATTTGAATGTACAATTCATCTTCCCTAATTACTCTTCTTTCTTTGATATTATTGAATTTTATTCATCTAAATGAATTTTAGAGTTACACAAAGTCCTCAGTTTAGAGAAATCCTATTGGGATTTTAAATGAAAATTTAAGTGCTATAAGTTAATTTGGAAAAAAATTCACATTGTTATAATATACTATCTTCCTATACAGGAGCACATTATTTTCACTTATCAAGTCTATTTTTATTTGTAGGGGTTTTTTTTTGGTGTGTTTGTGTGTCAGGGGTTTCATTCTGTGTTGCTCAATACAGCCTTCAACTCTTGGTTTCAGGAGATCCTTCCGCCTCAGCCTCCAAAGTAGCTGGGACTACAGGCTCAGGCCACCATGCCCAGCTAAAAATGTGTTGATTTTTTTGTAGAGAGGAGGACTTGCTTTGTTGCCCAGGCTGGTCTTGAACTCCTGGACTCAAGCAGTCCTCCCACCTAAGCCTCCCAAAGTGCTAGGATTATAGTTGTGAGCCACCATGCCCAGCCTACTTGTAGTTTTCATATAGGTCTACATATTTCTTAAAATATTGCAAATTTGTTATAGCTGCTATGAAGGAAATATTTTTGCGTGTTATATTTTTCTGATTGTCATTGAGACATAGATAAAAGCCATTTATTTTTGTATGCTTTATTGTTCACCCAGTCACTTATTAATTTTTTTTTCTTTCTTTTCTTTTCTTTTTTTTTTTAGAGTTCAAGTCTTACTCTGTAAGACTGGAAGTACAGTGGCATGCTCACTGTAGCCTCAACCTCATAGGCTCAGAGAATCCTTCTGCCTCTGCTTCCTCAGTAGTTGAGACTACAGGTGCATGCCACCACCCTTGGCTAATTTTTCTATTTATTTATTTTTTTTTGTAGAAACAAGGTTTCACTCTGTTGCTCAGAGTGGTCTTGAACTCCTGGGCTTAAGCGATCCTCCCGCCTCTACCTCCCAAAGTATTGGGATTACAGACGTGAGCCCCCATACCCGCCAACCATTTATTAGTTTTTATAGTGTTTGTTTGTTCTTGTTCTTTAGGTAGATGGTCATATCTTAAAAGTAATGATAATTTTGTCTCCTCTCTATTGAGTATATCTCTGATTTCTATTTTAGGTCTTGGTTAGAATTTTTCTAGAATGCTTGAAATAGTAGTATTGATAGTTGACATTTTTGAATGTCATGTGTTCCTTGGTTTATTTAAGAAGCGCATAGTGAATATCACATAGCTCTTTGAAACCATTTTGGATCAAATTTATTTGCCAAGGTACATGCTCAGCGGCAGTGTTGTACCTCAGCTGGAAACAATTTGTCAAGCAGTTGTAGAAATAACCCTAACCATCTATAAGTAGGGGGATGAAGTGATGACCAAAAGTCCTGGTCAGCACTCACACTCCCTGCATTGTTTCTTGTTTGTAAAATGATGAAAGTCCAACAAACTGGAGAAATATTTGTTACCCTGCTGTGCAAAAACATTTTAGGACCCTTTTTAATGAAAGTTAAAAGCAAGCTCGATTTATATATGACTGCCAAATCCTGACTTCAGTTGAGCTCTTCTTACCTAACACTTTACAGCAAGTGGAATGAAAATTGCAGCTGCCAGGGCTACCTCAACATTAAGTGAAAGAACAATAATGATAAAATTAGAAAGGAATGGTTCCATTGCATAAGATAAGCTAAGAGAAACAGCTGTCCTACCCAGGAAGAAATTGTCATTGTAACAAAACCAGAACGGTGCCTTTGGTGACGCTACTACCGGGAGTGAAAAGATTCTATTTTGAAATCATTATGTAAATAAGAAAGTCTGTCATTTCCATTTATTCCATTCATTGTAATTTTCCTCTGACAGTAACAGTTCTCATATATAATTTTTACATTTTTAGATTTTCGGTTTTTAACACGCAGAATTTGCTGTGACAGAAAATGAAGTTGTCCTCTAATGAGGACAGTCCACTAATGAGGGCTGCAATACAAACTTGCTTGTGTTAACTGGTCTTCTCTTCAGTGTCCTGCTCAGTCCACCCCAGGGGCAAGTAGCTCAGTTAATGGCTTTAGTATTCAGTTGGGTCAGTCAGTTGGAATTCTAGGAAGTGAAGACCTATAAGACAGTATAATATCTCTAGGCCTACAGTGGAGTTTTACTTAAATGATTTAAAAATGACTCCTATTTCCCAGCATCATGAAACTTTCTTGCCACATGCATTTTTCTGTGTCAGAATTAAACCTTATGCTGTTATAGTAAATTCTTGATGATGTTGATTATATATATATTTTTTAACTAAGTGCATCATAAAAATTATTAAAATTTAAATAGTCCTTGGATTTGTAGATTTTTTCAGGTTACAAGTTGATGAAGTAGGCAAATTAGGATGATTCTTTGGTATATACCCTGCCTTTGTTACGTCTTCTGCCTTTCTGTGGTTTAGGGAAAAGAAGGGAGGAGCAAGATGATTGGATAATCCCAAGCAGTTCAGGCAGAAAGCTAGGGAAATGACAAAGTGTGTTGAAAGAGGAATCTGAATACCTTCACTTCTTGCTACTGATTCAGCAAACTTTTAAAGGGTTCCAAGAAGATGTATGAATAAATAAGAAGTATTAATAATAGTGCCTAACATTTACGAACATCTGCTGTGTGGCAAGCACTGTGCTAACTGATCTACATCCTCTCTTTTTTTTTTTTTTTTTCCTTTTTAGAGATAAGGTCTAGCCAAGTTGCCCAGGCGGGTCTTGAACCTGGGGGCATAGGCAATCTTCTCACCTCAGCCTCCCAAAGTACTGGGATTATAGGCGTGAGCCACCACGCCCAGTCTACATCCTCTCTTGAAAGGATTTCATGCTTTGCAAAGGAAGTCATATCAGATTTCTTAAATATCAGCTTCCCTATGTTCATTTAAAATATTCTGCTAGTTTCAAAAAAATGTAATTTCATTACTGTTCTAGAAGAACAGTTCTTTTGACAATCCAAGACTCCAATGTTGACTCACTGGAGTCATCCTCATAATAACGAACCACTGTGGACAGATAGCAGACCTTTTGTCAAAGCTTTCCTGATCATCCCTGTCTCTGGTGGCCTTTGTCTTTTCCTAAGCATCAGTGGCACCAAATTTTGCATTTAATTACATATGCCTTAAGTTTTTTATTCTAGTTAAAAACTTTATCTTTCCTTAAATATTCTAAATTCAAGAATATTAGCTATATATTTTATGTTCCTACAAGCCTGAGCACAGTGCTGATCACAAATCATGTGTTCAATAAATGATTCTGGGATAAATGAACAGACTTTAAATTGATATTGTCAACTTGCTTCTGAGGAGCTGTGTGTGATAAATGTACACTATAATGTCTGAAAATTTTCAAAATACAGTTTTTTGTTGCTTTTTAAAAATCTAAAGCATTGGTTCTCAAATTTTTTGATCTGAGGATCCCTTTGCATGCAAAAATTATTGAGTACCCTAATGAGCTTTTGCTGATGTAGGTTACATCTAGTGATACCATAGTAGAAACTAAAAAGGACACATTTTAAAACATGAGAATACTAGCACATATTTCCCCAACTGTCAGAGTAGAGACATCAAACACATGTCATGTAGCCTCTGGAAAACGCCATGGTACATTCATGAGAGAATGGGAAAAAGTCAAATAATGTCTTAGTATTATTATGAACATAGTTTTTACCTCATAGACCCCCCCTGAAAGTATCTTGGAGAATTAATAATCTAAAGTGTTCCACTGAATTACTAAGTTAGGTTATCATAAGGGTAGTATTTAATCTTAAGTTTAAAACTGTGTTTTTTACTCTCATGTTTAATCATGAGTACTGTGAATGTTGTAAATAGTTCTAATTATATAGCAAAGTACAAATTAATTTTTTAATTTTAATTTTAATTTTTTGAGGCAAGGTCTTGCTAGGTTGCTTGAACTAGTCTTGAATTCCTGAGGTGGTCTCTCTACCTCAGCCTTGTAAGTGGAATTACAGGCATGTACCACTACTCCCAGCTTAAAATTAACTTTTAATTAATGTAAAAAGTTATTTTTTTGTTGAAATTATCTTTTTAAAAAAACCAGCAGTATTTGGAAAATGTGTTCATCATACATTTAAAGTTGAATTTTCTTACATTGCAGTTCCTCAGTTTGAAACTACATGTAATTACGTAGATGCTACACTTGAAGAATTTCTGACCTGGAACTGTGACCAGTCTAGTATTTCTGGACCATTTAGAGATTATGAACATTGCAAATTCTGGGCTTATGCTGACTATAAATATTTTGTCAGTCTATTTGAAGACAAGACAGATATTTTTCAGGTAAGTCAATACATTACTTTTAATCTTGGTAAGAATTTGTTCTTGAGTAAAGATAGCAAGTTAGAATCTCCCTGGTACCCTCTTCCTTTGCTGCCTTTTTCTCTCATAAGTAGTCACCATGAGTCTTGAGTATTTTATCCACTCAAATCAAAAGATTTGCTGGAGAGAAGTGTAACATTTGGCCCACACAGATGGGTAGCCTTCTCTCTGTTTTCTTACCCAAACTTCCTACATGCCCCTCCTTTGCCTTCAAATAGTGCCTGAACTGATTTGGCATATGTTAGAAGCATAGATGGGTATAAAGCTTCATTTCCTCCTGATATCCATATATCTTCTTATCTGTCAGTGAGGCAGACGGAAGTACAAAGCTGATTCTGTAAAGAAGCATTCCTTGGGCTGTAACCAGGCTACTGCTGCCCTTTCTGTCTACCCTAGTGATTTAGGACAGCGATTTTCTCTGGTGGCTTATGGCCTGAGGCAGAGAATACTGAACTCCCAGTATTTGGTAGTAGAAGTCCTGCAGAAGTGTGAGTGACTGGCAGAAGTAAGATTATGGAAATTTTTTGCTGTGTGTTGACATAACTGACAACAGAGTTTCCAGACTACCCCATATCCTCTTTCCTTTTAAGTGTTTTCTACCTCAAACTGTCATTTTATTTTGTGGGTGGTTTTGCAAACTCCTTTCTCTGGTTTCCACGTGTGTCAGGCATGGCAACTGTCCCAGGAAGCTGTTTGGATGACTCTGCCTATGCACAGTCAGGCCTAGGCTCCACAGTCCATCCTGCTTCCAGGCCTTTGCAAAGAAAAGTATTTCACCATCCCTGCAGGCTGTTCACCCCTGCTTCTCTCCTCCCATCACCACCACCCCCTCTCTGGACTTTCCTCTTACATTCACTGATAGCTCTTTGGCCCCTGAGTAGTTTTCCATTCAGCTTATGTTTTTCTTTCTCACTTGAGTCAAGATGTACATGCTGATGCTTATGTAGTTATTATAATATAGCTACTAATATTTTGTAGCTTTCCTTTATTGCAGTTTTTATGTCTACTTAATTTTGATATATGTATATACATGTATTTGAATTGGGATTCTTGCTGTGTTGCTCAGGCTAGACTCAAACTCCTGTACTCAAGCAAGCCCCCAGCCTCAGCTGCCTAAGTAGCTGGGATTACAGGCACATACCACCATGCCCAGCTTAATTTTGCTTTTTTTTAAAAAAAGGAAAATATATATCACCTTGTTCCATAATTGTTGAGTATATATTTTTATTCTCACAGTCATGAAAAAAATGCATTGGCTTATAAAACGTTCAGTAAATGTTTCTGAATCCAAAGTCAATACCAAATCTACTATTTACTCATTTTTAAATGATAATTTTGAGATAGGTGTTTTTTCTTATAACCTTAGTTGCAGTCACTTTATGGTTCTTTAACTCTGAAACTTGGAGCTTTTATAGTTAACTTTTGAAATCTTTTGTTATGTTTCTCATACTCCTACCCACTCTGTAGGTTAGACTAGTACTTTTAAACTCCGTATTTCAGGTAAAACATTGTGTAATAGTAATAATTATCAAGTACTTGTTCTTGGGACTTTTCTAAGTGCTTTACATTTGTAATACTCAAAGTATTATATGTGTCTATGATTTAATAGTTATACCCATTTTAAGAAAAATGGGGCACAAAGATGTTAAGTATACCTCTGATTTCAGAGTTTTACTCCAGAGCTTTATTTTGTTATTATTATTTTGAATTCAAGGTTTCACTCTGTCACCCAGGCTGAAGTACGGTGGCATGCTCACAACTCACTGCAGCCGTGACCTCCTGGGCTCAAGCGATCCTCTTGCCTCAGCTTCCCAAGTAGTTGGGACTATAGGCGCATACCACCACACCCTGCTAATTGTTTTGATTTTTTTTTTTATAGTGACAAGGTCTTGCTGTGTTACCCAGGCTGGTCTCAAACTCCTAGGCTCAAGCAATCTCTGTGGAGGGGACTAAGGACTTCCATCTATCCTGAGTCTAGGTGCACTCTTCCTTTGATGAATATCTAATCTGACCCCATCAGTTCTGTCCCATCCCAGGCAAGGCAGCCCTGGGCAAACATGGGACCTGTCTATGAAGTGTGGATAGAAAAGGCACATTTGGTAATGTGCTAGAATTCTAATTGACTCCTTATAAAATCTGATGTTTTTAGTTGAATGAGTTTTCTTTCAGCTCACATCATGACAATTAATTCTTCTATGAATAACCAAGCCCATTAAGATTGAATCATCTTTTATCTCAAAGCTTTCTGGGCACCAAGTTTTCTAACATTACAGGTAGCTAACTTGTTTTATTTTTGCCATTGTAATTCATTCAGTCACCAAGTCTTATTACTTGATGTTTCAAGCTTTCTTATATCTGTCATGAAATGTGAGTAGTTAAACATTAAAACAGTTATGTTTTAAAAATATGTATTAATTTATTTAAAATAACATAACAAACCCACTATATGTTTACATAAATAACATATTTTTAAAAAAATAACTATATCTCAAAATGTTTTAATGTTGTTAAAAGGGTGGATTGTTTTATGTTTTAGCACGTCTCCCTTATGTCTGGCTATAGAACACAGCTGGATTCTCCTATCTGCCTCTTCGTATAAGCTGTTGCAATTTGTTTGAAGTATATGAAGAAAATCTTGCCTCACATGCATATGCAGCTAAAAAAAGAGAGGAGTGTTTTAACAACCCTTTCAGATAATTGTGGTTTTTTTAATACCACACCAAACTTTAATCTTAAAGTTTGATTAGTTGCAGTATAGACTCTAAACCCATAATGAATAAATTATTTGTACTTTTATAATAATATCTTTTGGTCTGTTTTGCACAGAATAGTTCTTACGTAATGTCATTCTTGGTCATTTGGAAAATATTGTTTTACTGAGTTATATAGATCTTATAAATATTAACACGTTTCGATATACCTGATATATCACATTATTTAAAAAGTCTCATTTGTTAATATCACCATAGTTCTTATCACAAAAGCCTTTGTATTTGAATACTTTCAAGCTCACATATATCAAGATAGTTCCAAATATCATTTTCACTCAGTTTTAAATATCTTCTAATTTCCTTTTGTTAATTATTCTTTGACTTATTGATTATTTAGAATTATTGAAATTGTTTAATTTCAATTATTTGGAGATTTTCCAGCTATCTTTCTGTCATTGATCTTTTATTTTATTTATTTATTTATTTATTTTTAAAGTCAGAGTCTCACTCTACCATCCAAGCTGGAGTGCAGTGGCATGCTCACGGCTACTGCAGCCTTAATCTGCTGGGCTCAGCCTTCCAGGTAGCTGGGACTACAGGTGTGCACCACCTTGCCCAGCTAATTTTTTTATTTATTATAGAGACAAGGTTTTGCCATGTTGCCCAGGCTGGTCTCCAACTCCTGGGCTCAGGCAATTCCCTCGCCTCAGCCTCTCAAAGTGCTGGGATTACAAGTATTAAGCCACTGTGCCTGGCCTCTGTCACTGATTTTTACTTTAATTCTGTTGTGGTCAGAGAACATACTTTATATGAATTAAGTCCTTTTAACTTTATTGAAACTTGTTTTATGGCCCAGAATATACTCAATCTTAATAAATGCTCCATGTGCACTTAAAAATAATGTGTGTTCTATTGTTGAGTGGAGTGTTTTATAAGTGTCAATTAAGTCAAGTTGATTGTTCAAGTCTCCTGTATCCTTATAATGTATATTTATATTGACAAATATACTGATTTCCTGTATATTTGTTCTACCATTATATAGAGAAAGATATTGAAATCTCCAACTATAATTGCATATTTGTCTTTTTCTTACTTTAAGTTGTTCAGTTTTTGTTTTGTGTATTTTGAAACTGCTATTTGGTTCATCCACATTTAGGATTATTATGTTCTATTGGTGAACTGACCTTTTATCATGATGAAATAACCCTCTCTGCCTTGGGTTTTCTTGTTCTGATGTTTACTTTGTCTCTTTTGTTTAGTTTGCCTTTGATTAATGTTAGCATGAAAAAAGAGTACTTATTATATGATTCAATTTCTATAAAATTCTAGAACTTGCGAACTAATTTGTAGTGAAAGAAAGTAGATCAGCGGTTGTCTGAGAATGAGAGTGTAGGGAGAGATGGGTTACAAAGTGTTACTGGGAAATTTTTGAACATGATTATAGTGATGGTTTCTTGGATATAGATGTAAAATTTTATCACATTGCACACCTTAAATATATGCTGTTTGTTATACATGAATTATACCTCTGTATCCCCAGCTGTTTTTTAAAACAAGAATGCAGTGTTGCTAGTGCATTTTGGTACTACTGTCTTGACATGAGCAGTTTGCTTTTGTGCCATCAGTGCAAATGCCAACACATCATAACATAGAAAAATAATATTTTAGTAGTATTATGAAAATAGTTTTGACCTCACAGATCCCCTGAAAAAGTCTCAGGGATTTCCCAGGGATCTATGGACTACTTTGAGAACCTGTGGTTTACAACGTCACTTCTGTGATTACTTTTCTAGTTCTGACTCCTCCTCTAATTAATTCTAAAATGGTTTCTTATGAAAACATTTTAAGTCATGCTCCAGATTAAAAATCAGCCGGGTGTGGTAGCGCATGCCTGTAATTCCGGCTACTTGGAAGGCTGAGGCGGAAGGATCGCTGGACCCCAGCAGGTCGAGGCTGCGGTGGCCAGGAGCAGCCACGCACTCCAGTCTGGGTGACAGAGTGAGACTCCAACTCAAAAAAAAAAAAAAAAAGAATGTTTATCATATTCACTAATGTGTTATGACTTGAAATTATATAAAGTTGGCATTTAAGACTCTCCCTCCCCCCAGCATGGCTGACCCTATCGTTCTTCTCTGCATAAGCCTCTGTCCAGTCTCCTTACTGACTTATGTTCTTTCTCACCTTCTGACGTCTTGTCAATTTCTGCTTGTTAGAGTTCTGTGTCTTAGGGACTGACTCAGATTCAGCCTT